CTGTAAGTTATTATTTATTCACTCAGAACATTGCTTTGTCATGATTTAATGATCCACTTGATCCCACAATATTTTCTTAGAAGCTTACCCAAACCACCCAACCTGCGAGATAAGTAATATCCTCCTGAGACACAAACTTTTGTTCGGTATGCATTTTTAATTTCTCCTAGCTATTTGGGGTCAGTAGTAGTATAGTATAGTATAAAAAACGAAACATTGTCAACGATAATTAAGTCCTAATGTCCTCAAACGAGAAGATACTGAAGTCCCAATGTCTTCAAATGAGTACTTCCTGGTACAGTGTGAACAGTGTCTTAGCTCGTTACTGCTGCTAAAATCAGTCAAATTTGTTGCCATATCAAACATTATCAATCATAAAAAAAAAAACAAGTTTCAACCATAACATGTGATCAGGTTTGGTACCTTGTCTACTTTTATGTCAGGATCAGCTGTAGACTGACTTGGCAGAGATGGCTGCCATCTTGTTTTACATGGATTAATGTATTGCGCTCTTACCACCACCAGATGAAACAAAAAAGTGTCCAAAAACGAGGACAGCAGGTCTAAGTTATGTTGAGTAAAATATATGTACTTTAACAATATGATTAATAGATTTAAATGTGCCTTACTCTTCCTCCTTGCCTCATGGTCGGCCATGTTTGTTGAAAAGGGTGTGTGGCTCTACTGCAGTCCACTTTAGATGATGTGAAACACTTTGATTGGCTTAAAGTCAACCAATCAAATAAGTTTGTGGATTTGGGTGGAGTCAGACGACAGTAATCATATTAAAACATTCAAGAGAAGTTACGTCCAATGGAAAGGTCAGGGTATCTGAATGGATTAACTGTGATATTAATCTTTAAAGTCAGTGATAGTTCAATGGTTTTAAGTCAGTGAGATTCAATAAAAACGCTGAATCTGTGTACCACATACAATGTATAAGCTGTGCTTAAGCAAACATTTGACCTTTTGGGAGTATTTCTTGACTCTACGCTGTTGCCAGGAAACCAGCGGGCACTCAAGGAAGTTAGGACTCCCTGCCGAGAAATAGTTCAGCACATCCCCTTTGTAAAACTACAAATTGTTGTTTTTACATGACAGTTTTTGTTCTAAACAAGCCAGATATAATGTGTTAATTAGTGAGCTTTAGAGGTGCTGGTAAAGGCAGCTTTCTTTTTAACTTTTGGACAAATTTATTGGACAATTGTGGCTCATATGCCAAAGATGTCCAACTATTCCTTTAAAACATTGTAAGTAACTCTGAGCAAAGTATTCATTGCATCAGTTCACACGGTATTTATCTCTGTCAGTGACCCAGTAAGCCTGTATCTGACAGCACTTACAAGACCCGTGTCACTATGTTACCTACAGCTTGACAGACTGCATCTCCCATGTTCCTACATGATTTAAAGAACTGCTGTGAACTGTCAGGTTTCAGCTCCCCCATAGTCTCAGTTTCTATCTCAGGTCTTACTCTGGCCATCAGATCCGACTATTACCTCAGCAGAGATGCCAGGCCGGGCCCAGCACCCCCCCTACTTCTTCCTTCTCTCTTGCCAGACTTCAGCAAACAGTGAATTATTTAGGGTTAACAAGCTGTTGAAATGGTAAACTCAATTGTGCATTTTCATTAAACCTCCCTCGCTGAAGAGGACAGGATGTGGTTCAAGTGTGAAACAGTACTAACCCGATTCCTCTGACAGAGAGGTGACAGAGAAGAAGTAGACTGCGAGGGGACATGTCAAAGGAGAGCCCGGTATCAGGCGAAGTCACAGCCTCTTCAATTGCTTCCTGGTATAGGATTGTGTTGCCAGGTTTGATTTAATCAAAAGATCACTTGTGATTGAATAACACTGGCTAGACTGAGCTAATGGCTTTTGATCGGTGTAACAGGTCGACTGCTGTAGAGCTGAAGCGGTCCGATCTTAAATGCTTCGTTTTTCTATTTAGCCACAAGAGATCACAGAGATGTGGATGTCAGGCGAGACCAAACGGCAACTTCCAGGGCTGAAAGAATGAAGCCAATGTGGAAGAGCCAAAAACGGCAGTTCCTCGAATGACCACTTGAGGCTGGGTCCAAAAGCGAGTCAAACCCCATAGATCCCCATGTTAAAATGTCTCTCTTTACAGCAGAAAAACTATACAGTGGGTGAATTTTCGTAGGGCCTATAAATCCAATTTATTAAGGCTTAAAGTTATTCATAATTAAGGGCGTGGCTGTGAAATACTATTTTCAGAGGGATTTTAATCATTATGAAGCTCAGTAAATATAAAGTGTTGTTTAAAGTCTCACCTTTTCTAACGTTATTGTACCTTAGATTATAAACTTCACAAGTTTAGAAGTAACGTTACTGTGCCAGACGTGACAGATCACTGAATACGGTGAGCGTTCACTGTAGTCCAGACACCATGTCTCCTTGTAGTTTTTTCATAATTTCTCTTAAGTAATTGGTCCAAAATGTGCCAATCAAAGTTGTCTTGACTCATAAGACCCACCCCCAGAGACGAGGTGACCAAGCAAGCTTTTATGAGCATGTAGTAATGCAGCAAAGCGAACATACCACAGAAAATGTCTGAAATACCCTGAGTCTACCTTACAGTCACTGGGTGAGACACAAGAAAACAAAAAGCAGACAGACTGCATGAGTCACAAGGTGCACGACTCCACTGCAGTCTAACTGCAATGATGATGGATATGGAAATGTCTGTGTGAAACAAATTCCATGTTATCTTTCACTTATATTCCTCCTTATCTTTCCCTCAAGCCAAAATACTAAAGGTGACTACACACTGTTGACTTCACTTAATGGCAAGAAGCTCTTGTATACTCGTATGTACACACAGGTGTGCCCATGTAAACTCACACACAATTGCACATTAATATACACATACATATACATATCTGACAATTTTATTACCTACTTAAAGGTTCTATATGCAACATTCAGAGCATTAATATAACAGCAAACCACGATTTGCTATGTAAACGTAATGGCATCCTGACCAGAGATTGAAGTCACGCTACCTCTTTGAGTGTTTTAATCCAAATTTCTCTGTGGTATGTTGTGGTAGCCAGTGTGGCTCCATGTGCATGTGAGTATCTCACTTGCTGTCACTTTGCACTGCACTCTTATGGCACCTATTCTTGATGTCAGGATGGCATGGTTGCAGGAGCGTAGCAATCACCCTCTGTCAACACTGTTGCTGCCGTTTTTTCGCGCTGTTAATGGAGTTTGCATTGTTTGCAGCTAGCCGCCAGTTCAGCCACATCCATGTTGAGAACTGTGTGCACACAATTTACACGCTCTGAATCTCACATAGAGCCCCTTCTGAATTTTAATTATTCTAACAAATATGGTGATTATACCATTATTTATGGATTAACCATATCACAAGAGTCATTCTTTTTGAAAAAGCCACCAAATGTATTGTTTTAAATATTAGTAAAAACTTGCAATCATGTATTTATAGTAGGCTATAGATATGAAATGGTACCATGGGTGGCACTGACATAAAACAGCTTAGTAAGAGCTTGCTAAAACTGCAACTGGAAAGTTGATTATAATTCAACACACTGAAAAAAATGGGATAAAATTTGCAAGAATGTCATACTTCTTTCTAAACTACATATGTATCTTTTTTTAACTGAATGATGAATGTAGTATGTCCTATTTTCTATTTTTGCTATGGACCATCTTGTAAGTCTTAAAATATTTAAAGTTTGAAACAAATTAAACCCCTTTTAGTGGTGGGGTTTACTCAAAAGCGTATCAGGTGTGGTCCTGATGTAAAACCTCTTCAACAAGACACTTTCTCTTGTGTTAAAAAAAGTTATCTTGGATTAAACTATGGTCTGAAGGCAAAACAGAAGCAAAAATAATGGTAAGATGGGGGAAAACATCCCCTTAAAAAACAATGGCAATTTACTGTAAGATTAAAACGTATAGCCTCTTTCTTGTAACTGGATTGGAATTGCCTTGAAGCACATGTCAGGGTGTGGACTCATTACAGCCTGTTTGTGCTGGCTGCAGTGGCCTACTTAGAGCAGACAAATACTATAATACATTATTTTGGATGCTGCACCTATTTACCTGCTGTATGAATAAAACTGCCATTGGCAGGAGAGGAGATAGGGAATTAATCACCACCAAAGACAACATAGAGTAAAGCAAAAGCAGCGACTGCTTTTTAGTACTGTATACAAATCAGATTATTTCACCACATCACGCATTAACCCTTACTTTACATTACTTCATCAGCGTGTGTAAGTTTAGTTATGATAAAGTTCATACCAGTGCGACCAACTCCTCTTGACTGTTGACCTCCTGCTGCGCTCGGTTTACAGGCATTATACTGTGGCGTCCTCTAGTGCACAGGGGGTGATACGTGCAGGGAGAACTGTGATGGCCCGCAAGCCATTATCTTTTTAGATTAAGGATGGACATATGTGTTAACTGTTCATTTTGTGATATGCAGAAAGAAAGAAATGCTGCATCTGTTTTTGGCAGTGTTCATACACTAACCATTTCTAGAAAGATGTATCGGTATGTTGATAACACTGACTCTGAATTTTCTCTTTATAGGGAAAATGTACTGTTTGGTATACTAACAATAATAATAACACAATTTTTTTTAAAAAAAAGAAGTATATAATCGATTTGATGATTATTCCAGCAAAGTGTCATATTCATAAACGAAACTAAGCAGTTCATTAAGACCATTTTGACTAAAGAATAAGAACGCTTATTGTTTAATATTTTTAATTTAAAGATTTCTCCTGGCTCTGGTGTGGTTTCATATTAATAACGTATGTGTGTCTATTTGTTGGATTGTTAATAAAGATTTAATTTTGAAAACAAAAATAAACACCACATGTGTGATATTAAAATAATAATCAAAGATAAAAACAAAGCTGATTAAACTATTAGACAGTAAAAAAATAAAAAACTACACACAGCCACTTTTTACTTTCACCGGATTTGACGTAGCTGCGGCCTCTTTCCTGTGTGACCGGGAGCGTCGGGTCGGCCGCCGCTGCTGCTGCCTGTCAACACCGCACATCCCCCTGAAGACGTCTGTGTCCGGGAATTTTTGTTTTTAATCGTTTGTGTGTGACAGAGCACTAAGTGTCCTCCACCATGCCCATGTACCAGGTAAAGCCCATCTGTGGGGGTCACATAGCGACCGATTTACCAACCTGCATGTACAAGTTACCAAATGTCCACGCGCAGCAGGGGAACAGCTGCACCTCTGAGCACGCGCTTCAGGTAACTGTTAACTGATTTCACTTCGCTAAGGTTGATTTTTAAGATTCTGGTTAGCTTGTACAGCTTGTGTTTTGCTCTCGTTGTTGTCCGCACTGCGTTTTGTCTCTTAAGTAATGATAACGTGCGTGACTCGCGCGGTGTGTTAGCATTAGCTGCCTTCAGCCAAGCTAGCTAGCTAAGTTAGCATGTCAGGGGAATCTTCATTCTGGCTGATGCAACAATTTACAAAACGTCTCCTCTGTTCCATAGTCCTTTAAACACGATCAAACAATAGAAACGGATGAAAACAGTAGAGTTGTTTGTCTCCAACCTTTGTTGTTTTTGTTTACATTGACATTAATAACCCTAAAATTGCATATCATGATGGTATGACTGTACACATTGCTCCAGCTGTGCACTGCTGCAGTGTATGTTCAATACAGTTTTAATTGTACTTTCCCACTTTATACTCAACCTCCACTTTATTTTAGAGTGATAAATCATACGTAATGCGTTATTATAGACTACTACAACATATATAATATTGTGAGTGATATTGTCAGTGGAACTTTACTTGTAATAGAGTATTATTACAGTGTGATGTTGCTCCTTTTTCTTGAGTATCTAAATGCTTTCTCCAAAGCTGCAGTGTATTTTATAGTGTAAACATTGTGGTATAAATCACCAGTATACCTTATAACTTCAATCCAAAGCCTCTTCCCAATTAAATGTCCAGTCCCTTTTACTAGCCCGGTGTGGCTACACATTTTGACAAATAAATGCCTGTCTCAATTAGACGCCTGGTCTGGTTGCCATGGTTTAGGCAAATAATTTGATTGTATTTCCCCGTCTTTGCTAAGCAACAGTTTTGTGTGAAAGGAATTAAAGGCCTGTCCCAAATATAGGCCTGCTGATTTTAGTGATTTAAGCAAATAATACCTTAGGCTATTAATTGAAGTTTTACTGTATAACCTAATTTGATGGTACAAAACTGAAAGCTTACATAATTAAGATCTAGTCTTCAAAATCTCTTCATTAGTTGTCTTCTTTATGTGTGTGTGTGTGTGCTGTTTATCTCCAAACTGGGGATATGTTAAATGTGTTTTCAATAGTGTCTCTGTTTTCTGTGCATTTGCAGCTATGTAGCTTACGCCCAGGTTGTAAAACTGCTCACACCTTCAAATTCCCATTCGTGGTTTCAACCAAATTGAACAATCCTTTCTGTCTCTCCAGAATGGCGAGGTGGACCCAGCAGTCAAAGCTCTGGAGGCCCGGCAGGACGAGATAATGAGAAAACTGTACGAGCTGAAAGCGGCTGTGGAGGGCCTGGCCAAGACAGTGACCACCCCAGATGCCGATCTGGACCTGACAGTCAGCAGCAGCCTCTCCTCCCAAAGCCCCAGCTCCACGACCTTTAAAGGCATCACAGACCTGGACACACTACTGGGCAAGGTGAGAAACTGGGAATAATGCTGGTGAGCTTTGCATCCAGGTATTAGCATAACTGGACACAGTGTTTATCAATGATATTTATCTTTCATGGACCCTGCACTGACAGTATGCAGTATGTTTCATGCACCTGATATACTTTGACTGTATTTTTCTCTACTAGTCTATTGATGTTTTCCCAATCACGCCCATCTTAACTGTCATTAGAAGTTATAAATACCACACTAACCTGCACAACCTGCTCATACTGGAATTTATCTCAAAGCACAGTCTAGCGTGTGGACTGATTACTACCTGCAGTCTGTTTTGGCCTTGTTAGAGTAAACAAATATTGTTATACTTTATTCTTTTTGCATGCTGCACCTACTTACCTCCATTATGTTGTTTATATCACAAGGACCTTGGTGCTCTCCGTGACATCGTCATCAACGCCAACCCGGCACAGCCACCCCTGACCCTGCTGGTGCTCCACAGCGTGTTGTGTCAGCGCTATCGGTTGCTCTCCACCGTCCATGTCCACTCCTCGGTCACCAGTGTGCCGCCACAGCTCCTGTCCTGCCTCGGTCCACGTCACGCAGACAGCTATGCTCGCCAGATGTTCCAGCTGGGCTTCACCCTCATATGGAAAGATGGTGAGAGAAGCAGAATGTGTTAGAGCGGGGATGATCAATGTACTTTGCCCTGGGGCCACTTTTGCAAAATGATAGGAGAGCAGGGGCCTGTTAACAAACTTTAATAATAAGTATCAAATAAAATGAATAAACAAGGCAAATCCAGTTATAGTCAGTCCCGCACAGGTTAGTTGTACCAAGGGTTTAACTAGGATTTGAGGACATTCAGGGCTTAGCTTGCGTCTTTGTCGAGGGGTCCCGGCTAGCCACCCCTAGTACTTTGATGAACAAGCTCTACTGTGATGCTTTTTATTACACTCTGACACATTTTAATCTACAAATTTTTCTTAATGTAAATCAGTCTATTTTCATTATGAACTTAAAAATGGTTGGCAGGCCCCACGGCACCCATTTGTTGCTGTTTTAAGGGATGGACATAAGACAAGGATCGGAGAAAGACTGCTTTAGAAAGTGCAACAAAGACATTCTTGCAATACTGTGCAACAAGCACATACATAACGCTGGTAGTAAATCAAAACAGGAAGGACATTATATCCTTAAAATACCTCCACCAGTGTTATATTGTGGTGCCATGAGGTCCTGATACACAACAACTCTGCTGTTATTGTTTTTTTGGCTTCAGATGACAGAGGCAGACTTGAAATGGGCAGAGAGAAGCAGGTATGACATTCAAGAAAGGTCCCAAGACTAGAATTGAACTAAGGAGGTTGCAGTTACATGGCATGTGCTGAAACCATTTGGCTATCAAGATCCTCCACAACTGCGCTGTTTAATTTGGATGTCATTTCTCTTGAAAGTGTGTAGGTGGTTAGATTATGAAACTAATTACAATACCTTTCACCCAGCCAAATTAATTACAGCAAACTAACCACTGTCATCAAACATGAAGCCATTTGAGTGGGGACTCAGCTATTTTACTGAGCATTAAGAGGTGAAGCTTTTTCTTTTTTTGATAATGTCTGCAGTTTTATTATCAAGAGCAAAGCTTTGCAACTTTTTGATGTGACAAATTATTTTTAAAAGTTATCTTTTGGGCTTTTTAATGGTTGAATATATCATGTACATTTCATGACCAGTGTAGATAGCTTTTTAAATTTCATGAACTCATGCACAAATGTTAAGGTTTACTATGCAGGATTGGTGGTTACTGCGAAATGGGAAGTAAAAGCCAACCCCAGATTCACTTTCTTTTGGCGTTTTGCTTCACTTTATTTGTGTGGGGGTTTTTTTTGTTGGCACTGTTCCTGCTGCCTATGGTCTGGCACCTAGTCGGTATCTTTTTATAAAGCCCCAACCTCACCTGAGCCCTGTGGGGGTACACGCCCATAAACATCCCAGACACAGAAAAAATACAGGCTTGTTTTTAAGGAAAATCCTGCATCTTTTAAGCATCATTGTGTTTTAGGAATACTACTTCTAACCATTACACACTTTGCATCCATGTTACCATGTGATACTTGACATATTGACATGATCTAGGTGTGGTAAAAGCTTGTGTCCTTGTGTACCCTGAAACATGTTTATCCTTTGACCAATCCACAGTCCCCAAACTGCAGATGAAGTTTAGCGTCCAGAACATGTGTCCCATCGAAGGTGAGGCCAACGTGGCGCGCTTCCTCTTCAAGCTGCTGTCTCCCTACCCCAGTGACCCTGCCATTGCCACACTGGTGGACAGCTGGGTGGACACAGCTTTCTTCCAGCTGGCAGAGGGCAGCGCCAAGGAGCGAGCTGCCGTCCTACGCGCCCTGAACTCCGCTCTGGGCCGGAACCCCTGGCTGGCAGGGCCCGAGTTCTCCCTGGCCGACATCGCCTGCTATTGCTGCGTGCTGCAAAGTGGCTCCGCGTCCTCTACACCCTCTAACGTCCAGCGCTGGATCAAGTCCTGTGAGAACCTGGGCCACTTCAACCCTGTCAAGCTATTTCTGCAGTGACTGGCGCTGTCCCAGGACCGGCCACCTGTAGGGTGTCTAACCCAAGCAAAGTGAGAGAAGGGCATTAGAATATTAAAATACCCCAGCCATGTCTGGATCCCCCTCTGATGCTTCCCTCCTTACTGTAATATATCACAGAACTGACAGAGACTCAGTAGAAGCAATATGGTTGACAGTTTAAGTAACTTAAGGGTATCTGTTTCTGCCATGCTGCTTTTGTATATTCTAAAGCTATTTTATGAAAGGGAGGAAGCATGAGAGGACTGTAAAGACAAGGGGTTGGTGATGGATTCAATCAAAGGTACTGACAGAAGAAACACACTGTACACCTTCCACCCACTTTGTGCCTAACATGATCCTGTTCTAAATGTGTGGTTTAATGTGGTGGTGTCCAGTATTACAAGTTGTTTTCACAAGTAATACTTTGCACCATTTGTTTTACTGAAACCATTAAAATTTCCACTTTGGATCAAACTTTGAATCAGGGCCTGGGCTTTGTTTTATTCCACTGTTTGTTCACTTTAAAAACCAGTTTCCTCAAGTAACCTAACAAGTAGCATCCACTGAAGTGCACCTCTGTGTCCAACAGGTGGCAGGACTGTCATTTAGGAATTGGAGATGTTTTTGTTCAGTAACTTCCTTAACCTGCTGCAACTCATCCCACTGTACAAGAAGGTAGGGAAACACTTGACAGGTGGTTCTTTGGAAAGTCTCTACTCCACCTGGCTTGTTTGTCTCTGGAGCTTTGGAAGACTGCAGCCAATAAACACGTTAACGCAGTACAGACATAAGAGCAAGCACACACTGAGGGTTGGGCCGGTCACTAAATCTTGAATTAAGTTTTAATGACTGAAAATGTTGGATGTTAAGCTTGCAGTTTGAAACCAAGCTTTAATATTAGGAGCCCGACCAATAAAGCAGCCAGGAGGATACATCAGCAAGTATTAGCTCATTGCAGACATACTGGTATCGGCACATTTGCCTGCCAAGTACATTTCTTGGTTGCAACAAATGCAAAGAGAACTTATAATGAAATGAAAACTATAGTCCTGCACACTGTCTCTTGAGCTCAGTTTATCAGCACTATGTTTTGTTTCTCAGAACTTCATCAAGCAAAGTCCCTACAGACAAATAAAACCATACAAATGGCACCGTGCATTTAAAGGCTACAGGCTTTCACCTGGGAAAACACCTGACAATCAGGCTGCCAGAAACACCTCCTGATTTGCATACAAGTCAATGAGCTCCTCCCAACACTTCAACAACAAAAACCACATTGAATTCTCACAAAGGTAATGGTAATCATCTGCTATAACTTTGCCAATATTACAAAAAACTGCTTCACCTTATACCGTGGAGCCCTCTAAGAACATTAGATAAGAGTATTCTTTTACATAGTCCCATATTTCTCAATTTGTGTTTTCACAGAGACGGCACTGAAGGCAATTTAAAGATGGATCCATAAGAAATGTTCTTTTCTAATGTCCCTGTTGTGTAACTGAACTGTTTTTCTGTATTATTAGCAAATTTATTATGTATGGTAACAACTGTAGGAGCTCAGTTTTGCATTTGAGAAGCTCATTTACCTTAATATGTCGCTGGCATCCTTAGACTGGCACTGTATTCTTTGGTAAAGCCTTAAAGCCTTTATATGTATGGTGCTTTTTGCATGGACATGTTTGTATGGATTTTGCCGGATGAAGGTCTGAGGACTGAAACCTCGTGTTAGTAAGAGTAAGTTAAAGTATTGTACAATGTTCAGGATTCTTTAATAATCACTTTTGATCCTACACACCTGAGATTTAACCCTTTGAAACCTGAGCAAATTGGCTTGGGTTATTTCAAAAACATGACAAGGAGGAAATGAGCAATGAAAAAAAGAAATGACCCACAACTATTGGCAAGAAGTTAGTAAAAAGATTACATTAAAAACAAGAAAATTAGTTAAAAACAAACAAACAATTATGTAAAATAAATTTAAATATGTAATAATCATCATTATAGTTTTTCCTTGGCTTTCCCTCACTATCTTTTTAAAAATAATTTTCTAAATGTATTTATTTTATTGCAATTTGTGTAACATTTTTGCTAAGATGCTCTTTGCCTTTTCCCCCTTGTTTTTGAAAGAAATTGCACCAGTTTGCTCAGAGTTCAATGGTTTGAAAGCAGCACAAGAAAAATCCCTTTCAAAAATGTTTCCTGATGTTATGGGTTGTGTAAAGAAACTAGTATCAGCCAGTATGTCATTATTGGATTAGTTACTCTCAAAAATCCAAAAAGAATCCTGTATTTGTCTGACTATATTTCATATATAACCATGGAACAGGGAAACTGGACGACAGATACTGACGGATCCTCCTGACCCCTTTCTTCACTCAGCATCTTAGTACTTAAAATCTAGTAACAAGATGCATTTTCCTTACATGTTTGAAAGCTTTAAGATATTGAAGAAAAAACATGAATTAACCAGATTATTTCAAAAGCTGTAAAATGTTTGTATCCACAATCTGAATGTAATTCTAACTTTAAAAGTGATTTTCTTCATCTGGAACTTAGTCCTTTATTTTTTGAGAATGTCTAAAATAATAATCACAGCTTTTTTTGTCCCACACCAAACTGCAGTTCCCTTTTTTTTCAGTTATCTCTATTCACCACTCCGTTTTGACTACACAGCTACACATATTTACTGTGTCCTTTCTCTGCAACCAGTTGTTCAAGCTGCTTTTTCTCCTTATCAGCTGATGTGTTGTTGTGTAGAATCCCAATGCCGTTTCTCTGGAGTGGAGTCGACTGTGGAGCAGCGAGGGCAGTTTCACAGCGGTCTACTGCTGGAGAGTTTCATATCTCTGCTTGAATCTTTGTGGCTTCTGCAGGCAAAGTCAAAGAAAGACAGATAACTAGAAAATATTGCTTCATACATGCAATGATGTTGAAAAGAAGAAAAAGCAAATCCCTTGGCGTCTCACACTCTCTTGAGGTTGGTTCTGCATCCTCAGAAGTGTCATGTTTTAGACAGCTCTGGTCCACACACAGCCCGTGTGCGAGTGTGTGTTTGTATGCTCTGACAGCCTCCTGTTGGTCTCCAGGCAGCTGTCTGACAAGACGAAAGCTCTTAAATGACATCTGGGCGCATGGCAAGGAATACACTCGGGACTGTGCAGCGCTGGAATTTTTGCTGTTTGTGTGCTCTGTGTTTCCCTCACACACACAAACACTCCTGGGCTTCTTTGAAACATTAATCAGTATCTGTTGATGCACTTTAGGGCTGCATGAAAATGAGGCAGCCGATCCCAACCCCGTCCCTAATCCTATCGCTTTTGTTGTCATGCAAATAAGACACAGACAAAAAAAAGAGGCTCTTTCCTTGTCTCTTTATATATGATATAAAACATACAGACAGGATATGTGTTCTCATTGAGCACCTGTAGAAAAAACAAACTTAACTGAAAGACAAAATCACTTAAGTTTAACCCTGTGGCTACTTCAAATCACAACAATAGCACATATAGAAGGATGCTTTTGTATACTCAGTCCTTGAATGTCAATGTCCAAGATTGTCAATTTGATATTTTCATCAGGCCATTCAGGGGTGACGATATACGCTACGCCTATCAAAACAGATAAGGGAAGGATATTAAAAAACACATCCGGGGCTAAATTGTCTGAAATGAGATCTCACTCAGGGTTTTTTTTTCCTGTGATGATTTTAGCACAATGTGGTTTGATTCTGCATCAATTAAAAGGCTGTGAGAAAAGGGGGTCGCCGGCGATGCGTTCACTCGGTGACCAAAGTGCACACATTACCGTTGTATCTCAAAAGCTGAATGCGCTCGAAGTAGTCATCGGTCAGAAAGTTTCTCTGTGAGGTGACCAGGTTGCCTTTCTGGCTGAAGAGACGCTGGACGGGGGCGGTGGACGGCAGGGTGGTGTTGTATTTGAGGAAAAGCTGCTTCATTCTGGGGAAGTCCTGAAGGCACTCGAGGCTCTTCCCCGTCCCTTCGAGGTACTTGCGGACCTCCTCCATCACCCCCCGTTGCTGGATCTGAATGGTGGGCTTCACAGACCCGTAGCTGAAGAAGTCATCTTCGGATTCAATGGTTGACAGATTCCGGCTTGTGTTTGCCTCCGTTACGCTACAGGGATCCATCTGGGATGCCTCTGTCGCCAGCAGGGAGCACATCTCCTCCCTGTCAGAGGCAGCCATCCACCACAAACGGAACTGAGGAGTCGTCGCTGTCGCAATCTTCGCTTCTGTGCTGGCAAACAGCTCCTGGAACCGCACGTCAATAGCCCCTACAACGGCGGTGATGACATCGCCGAAGTAATTTGCCACGTCTTTCTGCTCATTTAACTTATTCTTCAGGCTGAGCACGGTTGGGATGACCAGACCCAGGTAGCACTTCTGCTCCGCTTGGAAAAGTTCAAGTGCAAAAGCGAGCGGGTGGAACACGGTCACGTATTCTTTCAGGAAGGCCATCTCCTCCGGTTGCAAGCGTGGGACCTCCAGGCGGGCGCACAGCTCCGTCAGCTCCCGCTCTGTGAGTGAGACGATCTTCTGTATCGCACAGTACTCCACATTCCAACGTATGACAGCAGGCACGACCAGCGCCATCTTTCCTATCTCCTCTGCTGCGCTCATACCGACCTGGAGGTGGTGGCATTTGCTCCAGATGGCGTACACCTTGGCCAGCGTGCTGTAATGCAGCTGGCACATGGGCCCCTGTGACACGGCCTGCCAGAAGTCCTCAGTGACAATCAGCTCCAGGGTGTGTGATGCACAGCGCTGCACGGTGGGCAGAAACAGGAGCATGTCCTGCTCCGGCTCGCCCTCCAGGACGGCGCTCACGTTCTCGTAGAACCCGATGTCGTCGTCGCTTTCCTGGCTGTCCACCGCGAACTCTTTGAACACGCTGATGAAGGGGCTGCCGTTATCAGTGACTGTGGTCTGAACTTTACTCTCGATATTGTACGCCACGTGGATGTCGTGTATCCGTCCGGCGATGGTGTCGTGTGTGATTCTGCCCTGCAGCCGTGCGAACCCCAAGGCCGCAGACTTCCTCTCCAGAGAATGCTTATCGATCCAGTGACAGGTCATCCCGAAGAAGCTCCTGTTGTTGGCCGTCCAGATGTCAGCCGTGGTGCACACGTACTGGATGCTGTTGAGCTTCGCCATCAGCTCCTCCCGCATCCTGGAGAAACCCTGGTCCACCTTTGTAAACAAGGTCACCCTGTCCATGGACTTTAGCCCTTCAGTCAAGCCTGCGATCAACTTCCTGAAGCCGGGCTGCTCCAGCACATAAAACGACTGGCAGTCTTCCACAATGAAGTTGAATATCAGCTCTTCGATCTTTGCTTGGGTCATGCATTTGGAGATGATTTCCGCTTTGAGCTTCTTCAGCTGGCAGTGCCTGCTCTCCTCACCGTTGTGCTCTTCTTTCTTCCTCCCCCTCTTGACATCAGGCCTGGCTTCACAGCCCAAGT